ACAATTGGGAATAACATCTTTTGGACATTTTGGAAGACTTAAAACAATTTATTAAACATAGCAGGATGCATGTACGTTTGTATCTGCAATGGGGACACGTGTAGGTCTGCAAGAAGAGGTAAGACGTGAAGCAAATATGACATGTTGCGGAAAGTTAAGGGATTGCTGTAAAGGCGAATGATTGTTGTTACACAGAACTGGAGGTATATAGGAAAAAGAGACATAACAGGGATAAAAGAGATACACAGATTCCACACTGCAGCAATATATTGTTCCCGACTGTGTAATCCCTAGACCTACAAACATCGCCTCTCGGCATTGTCAAGAGTTTTTGTAAGTGATTATGGCGATAATAAATCCATCTGTTGGCAGTTGGATATTGAATATCTACCAAAACTCAAGCGAAGAGGTACCCCAAGCCAGTCGGTCGTAGATGTATATCGGTGAGGTGCCCCCTACACTACCTTGAACAGCACTGATTACTCTACCATGCCAGGGGTTTCTTATGGATGTGAGCTGTACACGTCAGTCGAAGGTGATTCCATCAGGAAAAATGATTAGCTCCATCATTCTTGTTTTCACTCTGTACGTTGGACAATGGAGAAAAAAGTGTAAAAATGTGCCACATTTGCCATTGTTACATTCTTTCTTGGATTGTGTAATCTCATTGGTCTGGAATAGTTACATGACCATCTGTAAAAACAAGTGTTTACCTCATTTGTTCTACTGTCCATACTAACTACCTTGTCATGTTGCACCGCGTTGGAGCAGTTGAATTGTTTGAATGCCAGGTGAATGAACTCTACAACCATTGTATCATGCCCAGCATGAAAGCTCGCAGTAATCTGATGGCTCCACTGTGAAAGTAATTCGATCATACATACACGTACTTTGTCAAGTAAGCCAAGAGAAAAACTAAGATGTTTAGTATCCAGGTTTATGAGAACAAATTTTAAGTTGGCCAAAATAATATTGTAATTCTAACACCCCAATAAAAGACAGAAAAAGGAAAGACCAAAGAATTGCGTGTATTTGAAGCGTTTCGTATAGTTTGGTTACTAAGTTCGTAGAATGTTTCACAAGAATTTTAGAAAACCAGCCTTCTCCACGGTCATGGGTGTAGTTTGCTGCTGTAGCCAATAAATTGGATGTAGCCAAATGAAAGCATGTTTAGAGATATCTCAGTTGACTGCATGATATGGAAAGTGACCATCTAGTCTGAGATTAGAGCTTGTATAGATGTGTTTTATTAGCATTTGATGCTAAACATGGTGCTGCCCTCATCTACCCTGTTGTTATTTGCTCAAAGAAACTAATTTTGATGACCGTGACACTGATCAGAAGCCAGCTGTCACTTCACTGGAAATCGAACCAACTTCATGCGCAAGGGCGGATCCAGAATATTTTTTTTCATTTAACCTTTAATGGCCTTTTTGGTGGGTAAGGCTAAATTTGAGGCTTGTGTCATTTTATATTATTTTCTACGATTTCCTGGGTCTTTTTTGTTGGGGGGCTGGTCTGACTTGGCACCCCCCATCCCGATCCGCCCTTGTACACATACATGGTTTTAAATAAGGCTTTCATTCAATTTTCAAGTAAATGAAAATAAACAAAACGTTCATGTAAAATCAAAGGTTGAACAACGATTCCTGCCATCTGGGATATGATTATGAAGTTGCTCAAGATTGTTGAGGTATAAGGGCAATATTTCATGACCCTGAGCCCATGGGGGACACAACACAGTAAACACACCTGCTAGAGTCCTTGAGTACTGCATGTGGAACACATCTTGTTCTTGTGATCAAGCAGCTTTTCCAGTGAATTGGGCTGCTTTCATAAGCAAATATCTTAAGTTACTTGGCAACGATCTAGGCCTGGTTCATAGGTGCGAATACACAATGATAAAAAAAATAATCATATGAAAAGCACCGTAGCTACACCAAGTGCCAGCTTCATGGAGCTACTTTCTGAGTGTTTGAATGATCTACCGCGTGCATGATTAAACTCTTCTTCTTCGTATCAAAACTATTTGAAAACTTTAAGTTTGAACTATTTTGAGCTATAAGTGAACCGTGAAGTACACTCTTAAACGTACCGGGCCTTTCCAGACAGGTGAGGGTGCAGTTACTGGTGGGATGTACATGTATGTACTCCAGGAAGACACTGTCCGGTGTTCTTGTTTTCCTGTTCAAAAAAATAGGCCTATTAGACCTAAAATTGCTCTTTTAAATTATTTCTGAGACCTTGTTGCTTACTGGCTTTTACACAATAACTTTGGGAAGCAAATGGAAATCTTTGATAGCGAAGTATAAACCTCAAGCAAGTTTTCGTGCATAAATCAATGTAACATTGAGGTTCTGTGCCTTGGATTACGTCACAGTTTCTAAAAAATATGCAAAGTCATATCACCTTTTTAGAAGTCCCCAAAATAGAGATAAACATAGCAAAGCAAAAATTGAAAATAAGGTCAATTAAACACAAAGGTGAAATTTCAAATTTCAAACCAAAACATTTCTATTACATGTCCCTTTAAGGATGTGTTGTGGCACTGAACCACAGTCGCACTGACTGGTGGAACAGCTTCCATGTTCCACGCCATGTCGCCGTAACACTCATGCATGCATTTCACAATTCATTGAAAGGAAATTAACCTGTGAAAACGCGATTTCACAGTCGTATTCAACTAGCTAATCGTTTGTCACTGTTATTCTACTATAGGCGTTGCGAGAGGTTATTCCTGGGAAGAAAAAAGCAAAATGAAAAAGGACGAAAGACGAGAATAGGGGAAACAAATAAGAGAAAAGAGGGAAAGGATCTATATTTTCGTTAAAATGCCTTAGAGTTGACTTCCACTGTTTCGTAACTCTGTTACCGTTGAGTGCTTCGCGCCCCGCCCTCCGATAATATTCCTTGGGAAAATCCCAACAACTTAAAAAAGCCTCAATATCAGTGACACCAGAAAGGCATCAACACTGTGGTACTGACACCGAAGCTCACAAAGATCAACGCAAACTTAGCACAATTATGCCGGTAGTGCTGCGTAACAGTAAAACACGCAAACTACAAACTCACTGAAAACCTGTTTATGATGATGGTCATGAGTATGCCACACAACCATTTACGAATTAACCTGTGTACTCTCAGTAGAAAACGTAAATAAGTTTTTAGGCGTCATGCTTCGAAAAATCGACATCAGGCAAAACAATAAATCTAGATTTACAAAACTGGCAACAAAATGCGCAAAGGCGTCGCTCCCTATAGGTCTTCAGGGGAAAATGTTTGGGATATCGCTAAAAATGTACAGGGGCGAGGTTCTCCCAGCTCTATATTAGGATAGCGCCGTCATCCATCCATACTATTCCCCTATTAGGAAATTTCCATTCAAATGACACTCAGGGAAGCCCCCTTACTCATCGAGACGTTAATGTCAAGCAAGGTCGAGGCTTCCTATACGTTGTTCACTCATCCCTCTGCCTGGAACTTGAAAGTCTCACAGCCAGACCGAAAATGAAACCACTTTTACAGGGGAAATCACGTACCGTTTACTCTAACACGAATTGGCCAGAGAGTGAATTGGTGACAGCGCCTTGGAACTCTGTTCACAATTAATCATGTACAATTTCAACTGTTGTAGTTTCCAATAATGGCTGTTTAAAGGGCGAATGTTGAAATAAAGAGGATTGTTATTGAAAGCTGATCATGGCAGACTTGTAACTTGTAACGAGTCGCTATTTGTGACTCGATTCAAGTCATTGCAACGTATAGTGACTCAAGGTGACTCGAGTCGGGTCACTGTAACGTATATATGAGACCCAGTAGAGTCGCGTCCTTAGGCAAAAAGTTGACTTGAGTCAAACATTTAGCTCAAGTCAATTCGGGTCCTAAATATTTGAACAAAATAGGGAAATCACTGTTACAATTATATTTTTCTTTTTGCATATTTAGATTTACCTCTGATTTCTACATGCAGTCACAGCACATTTTACTCTTTATGCAATAGCAAACGACACGAAAATCATAAACTGGAGCTGTACGTCATTGTAAATACTGAGTGACCCTTTTCTTGAAACTCTGTTCCAGAGGTAGGTCTATGCTCTATAACAGATCTATATTTGGACTGTCGACCGGAGGAAATGGGGAATTTGGCAGAAGGGAGATAACACGTTTTGTTTTATAAAATCCCGGTGCTGCATAATTGAGTTGGCCTATATGCATTACAAGTCCCCGCAAGTTCATCACAAGTCATTCAGTCTTAAGCCAAGTCACATACTGTTCAAAATGAATTGTAACAAAAGGATTCCTGATTCCTTATGCACATTACTGGTACAGTGTGAAAGGACTTTTGATGGACTTGACTCCAGCACAAAATGTTGAGGCACAAAATAGAACGTATTTCGTACCTCAGTGTGCAAACCGGACACGAAATGTTGCTGTTGTAGAAATCTGCTGTCATTCGACGTCCCGGATTTCTGTAATTCGCAAAGAGTGCTGAAGGACAGAAAATCACATCTGTGTTGATTATATTAAACAGTTCCAGATTCTCGGGCCTGTGGTTTTTGTCTGTGCTTAAACAATTCATATCTCAGAGTTTGTGTATAACTATAGCTTATCTGTCCATATTAATCAAAGTAGACAAAATGCCAAAAGCAAAGACGAATCCCACACGTAGGCCTTATGGATGTAGAAGGCCAACCAAATTGCTCCACATTATACACTGTACACGTCAGTACTTGTATCGACTTGATAATGGTTCCTCAGCAACAAAGTTGCGGAATTCTCTGAGCTTCCACAATTCAAAAAGGGCACAAGTCTTAGCCGTCGAAGTGACCGTCGCTCTTAAACTTAACACTGCTTCTGTTCCCTATAATAGGCGTATTGGGCTTTGCTCGTTCACCCTTGCATGGTTGTGTGGAAATTTTCTGGTACGTCTTTAACTGGCCGTTTCGTTATCGTGCAGGCATGCCGAGTGGCTACCAGGAAAACCATATTTGGAGACAGTGAGCGCTGAAACCTGAGTGAGTCAAGTTCACCGGTCGTTTGACTGACTAACGTTTTTTTACCGGTTACTAACAGCGCCCCTTTGCTGGTTACCGCTGAACCGACACCAGTTCCTCGCGGGAAGTCAATTGTTCTCAGTTAATTTAAACATCTTCCCTTCAACCCCTTCCAAGTCCCACCCCCCTCACTTTCCTGGTACCATGCTGGTTCAGTACACCCGTCTACACTGCACGCGACACCCACAAGGCAGCAGTAATTAGCGTCATCAGCAACGGGGACCCTCATTCGCTGAAGGAGGAAGTCCCAACCACCCACGCGAGCGTATTTGACCTCCTACAAAAAGAGTTGCCAAGCTCGAAAGGTGACCTATTGACGGCAAGAGGAGCTCGGAGTGAGTGCAGCCTGCTCAAAAGTTACGGGTACTCACAGCTTCTACTATTTACCAGTGCAGATTGTAGCCTTTAAGTGAACAGGTTGCTGCCAACGGACTAAAGGCCCTAGCCACCGGTGTCCGCTGTCATCCAAGTTTTGCTGGAGAGATTTTTCACAGGGGCCCGCCAGTATGCGCACAATACATCTGCTTGGACTTACCATTGTCATAACATTGTTTCTTTTAACAGAGGTAAGCCTCTCAATCTAAAACTAATTAATAAATGGAATATGACTTGGAGTTCTCTTATAGAACTTAACTCAAACTGTTCTCTTATCTAATAACTAAACTTCTTTTCCTTTTGGGCAATTTCAGATCATGAAACTTTGGTTTGAGATCGGTAGATGCAAATACATACATGCACATTGAATTACATGACGTGAACCTGGCTGTTTCATGCTGTATGTACGTTACCCGCCATGCCCGCCGAGCTAGTACTATAGGCCCTATATAGCTGACAGAAGTTGTCAATCATACTTGATTGTTATATATAGGCCTAATGTAAATATTCGCAGTTTGGTGGGGTCAGCCATCGGTAATAATAGTAGTTCTTGGCAACGGGTTTCATAAAATAAAACATTATTTCCCTTCAGGAGGAAGATGGTAACCATAGTAAATCATCATTATGACATCCAACATAGTTTCGAGGCCAAACCAAGAATTCCTCGTGCTAAGTTAAGGAGGACGCTATTTACGAGACTAGAGCTTGCAAAGATGTACACTCTCCAATATTCTAATTCCTACGAATGGTAAAAAAAAACATTGTATTTTGTGCAGTGCCTTGCAGAATTACAAATAGTATACCGATTGTTCGTGCACAGTTGTATTTGCATCGGGCATAATACACGACAGACTAGTAATACATGTAGTTGCAGGAACAACCACATTGGTATAACTGAGGGGGACAGACACCCCAGGCCTGTGCCGCCCCCCCCCCTCAGAAAATAAAGGAAAAATCGGCTGGTGGTCAGTGTTTTTAACAGTGACCGAAACTACTTAGTGCTTCACATCAGAAAACGAAGTCCCTAAGTGCCCCCAACAGAATGTACCCCAGTTAGGCCTACGCCGCAGAAAAATCATAAGTTTGCTTCGGCGTCTCATCGAAAAAAAAAAATCGACCATGACCTGAAGAGTGTGGAGTCAATCCGGAATCACTGATGTCATAATATTACCGGTTTTAGGGATGGGACACCGGGAGTACAATGAATCGGTCACATCCGGCCCGCTGCACATGGCTCACGTGTATAGCAACACAACATCCCTAATCCCCATTTCTTGAACCGCATACAATGTAGTTCTAGCCAATAATCCCTGTCTGAATCCGACTTGGTACACATCTTCCACCATCTAGGGAAAAAAATTAAATGGGTGATGAAGAACTTGCTAAACGACGTTTTTCTGCGTCCCGAAACAAAAAACATGAATTTCTCAAGAAAATTGTGCTTCGGCAGGTAACTAAAAAAAGTAACTTAGTAATTTTTACATGTTCTGTAAACAAAGGAGCCAATCGGGCGGGGCAGGATTTTAATCAAGACATTGTCAGACCTTCCAACCTTGCCGTACTCTTTCGTGAGGTCAGGCATTACCGGTATTTAAATGAGCCTTCAGTTGATTGAAAATTTTAATCTATTGTGTGGTAATGCCTGATGTGAGGAAGGAGTACGGCATGTTGGCAGGTCTGCATTGTAATGCATGCACTTTCTTTTTTGTGATACACGCACGGACCTTTGCTTTCATGCGTTCAGGCCCACGGTGAGTGAGACTGTACTGGTTGCTGTCCCTTGGAGACATTTTCATTGCGTGGGGTCTTTCAGCTTCATCAACCCCCATCATCCATGCTGGGTCCGTGCACTCAGGTTGCTGGCACTTGAGCCCTGAAAATAAATAGTTACAACGACTGTTAACAGAAAGTTAAGTCATGTTTATTGGTTAGGACCTTTGTTTACAGCTCCCTATATGGCTCGGAGGCTTACTGGGGACTTAGGCCTACTTAAAGCAAAGCTGAGGTAACACCGCTTTGAAACCGCCGAGGTTTCACAGGGGTTCCTTGTTCCATGGTTTATTCTAGATCAACATCGAGAAAGAACTTGGGAACGAATTGCACGAGGTGAAAACTGAGAGTCTGCCCTCGGAGGCTTTGGTTACAACACTGATCCTCTATATACTAAGTAAAAGGTCCGTGGTTACAAGGATAATAGCAAAAGAACATGTCCCAAATTGGCATTTTAACGAGGCGGCGCTTAATTTGTTGGGTCTTTGGCGCAGTAGCGTAACTTTTCTTATGTCAAATTTTATTGTGCTCATTGTGCACACCCAGGATTTGTCCTAAAGGTAGGGGGCCTCGGACTTGAATTTACTGCCCCCCCCAAAAAAAAACCACCTCATGATGCTCAAGCCCCCGCCCCCGGTTGCGCCACAGAGCTTTAGGATTGTGATGCACAGCTATAATACTATTAATAGCTAGTAGTTGAAGATGTATAGGTGTGTATCGTATCTTCCTTTTTCAGAAAATAAAATATCAAAAGGAAAAATTCTTGGAGGACTCAAGCCCCCGAACACCCCCTCCCCTTGGGTGCACTGTACTGGTCTGCAAATTGCGCAAGAAATTATGGGGTGCAATAAGCGCTAATTTTAGTTGCGTAAGTTGTGCGGAACAAATCGAATATGAATGAGTTGACTATCGGTTTACTTATGCAGGCTCATCATGAGAAAATTTCGTACACATTTGTTTTTTGTAGGTTGGCCTAATGAAACCCTTTTTGGCTGTGAGAGACGATTTTCAAAGAGTTCTGCTTGGTTCCGACAAAGGCGGAACTTTGTTCAAACTGACAGGCAAAACTAATTTCACGAGAAATTTAACGACTTCTGTAGTAACACAAAGGAACAAGCGTCGTTAAAGCTGTGATTGTATTGTGAAACGTTGCGCAGGTACACTGAGGTAAGCAACTGATTTTATGCCGGAAACACACCCTCACACATTGCACAGCTCTTGCAAGTTGTGCCGTCCAGCCTCTGTGGTATGAGGCTTACGCCGCAGGTTCTAATCAAAGGGTTTCATGAAATCAGCTGACATTTAGAAAAGATGCGACTCTAAACATTGGTTTCATATCCTGGTTTGATGCACCGGCATTTAAACACCGGTACATGAAGAGCAGAATGGATCGATTTTGAGCAGTGACTTCCGATGCCATTGCAGGATCCAAGAATAAAGTTGTGGTTTGGAAAAAGGCCCGCGCTTGCTGCATTTGCCCTCGCGAAATGGCTCTTTTTTAGTCTGGCGCCCAAAATACTGCTTATAGGACGCTGGCAAATTACTTGTGGAGTCGAGGTGTCACTTGAGTCAGGCGGTATTTTTAACATGAAGTGCAGCTGGTCAGTGATCGCTAAGGATGCAGACAGCAACAGAGAAGATAAAATTTTAGGTATATTTATTTGACTTTGACGTATCTGCCCGTCATTTCTCCACTCTTTTTAAGGGAACAAGTGATGTAAACATGGGCTGTGTTTAACTGGAAAGAGTTCCGTGTACGGACGCCGCTGGACACCCTGTGCACAAAACCCTACGAGACTGGTCTATAAACACCACGCAGCTAGGCCTACATGCAAACTTAATAAGTGTTCTCTGTTAAGGCATGGGAAATTATAAATTTGGGGAAGGGAGAGCTTCATTTTAATGTTGAATTCACCTTGGGAGATCACTGTGACGTCATGCTCAATAACTGAAGGGTAAATGTAAAAAACGGCTACGGTTTTGAGTTTTGAGGGGAAACTGTACGTGATATAACATGTGCCACATGGTGGATTCAAATTTGCATGGTTAGTTTATCTCTAATCGGTAAGAAAGTCAAATTTTCTCACAATTTACAATTTGAAATTTCCCAAAAATAGGGTTAGCGCAATAAAGACAGTGTTGCCTTTGTTTTTTGGGGGAGACTTACCAGTTTTGCAAGATTGAAATCTCAGAAAAGGGGTCCCCAAGTATACAATCAAAGTAGGCCTAAATGACTTTGTATTTTCCCTCGTAAATTGAACTTTTCTGGACATATTTTTGCTTTCTGACGGCTGATAGATCATTGTAGGAAATAATCAGTGGTGTTCGTATATGGAACTCCTTCCTTTTCACTTTACCACTTTCACTGGTTTTCACCACAAGACATGCCAGAACAGTACGACAACTTGTGACTGTAAACTGGTAGCAACAACTTTACTATATAAAAATGGCGGCGGTGTGAAGTTATTTACTTACTCCTCACTTGACGTCTGACTATCAACGTTGAGCAAATACATGTAACTGTTTGATATGTTCAAAATTGTTTGACATTCAGGATGCACACCCCTAAAAGTGATGGTGTGCAAAAAGAACCAAAAAAACTGTGCCATCTACATTTCAGGGCTTGTTTGACCCTAAAGAATCCCATTCCTCGGGTTGCAAGATACTGTTGCTGATCGAGGAGAACGGTGACATCAGATTCAATGTAATCTCAAGGCAGGGCATGGGGTTCGGGTATTTTGTTTCAATTTGAGAAAACTATGGTGCGATGCATTCACTTTCTTACTCTGGTTTGCAAGCAAAGGACTCCAACAAGACTTTCTTTAAAGCCATTTCGACTGTGGAAAACCACCTTGCCCTGGTTGAAAGGGAGGCAGTGGGGTCACTTAAGTGTACAGAAGCACTTTGAAAAAAACAGAAGTTTAGAGTTGGGCGTGGGATTGATGTACAGGTATATTATTTCGGTGGACTGAAAAAGTTTTGATGAAAATGGCAAGTATATGTATATAAAACTAACCTTTATGTTTCCTGTAATAATTACACTGCAATAAAAATCGTTGCTAACATTTCAGGGCTTGTTTGACCCCAGAAAACTTGTTACCCTTGATTGCCTCTGGGGAGAGAGTTGTTTATGTGTACATCATTGTGAAGTGGCAAGTAAAATGGGGTACATGTGAGTGGATGTGCATGGTTGCAGAGTGTGTTTTTTGGTCCCTTTTGCACTCCATCGCTTTTAGGGATACATGTGCATCCTGAATGTTAAACAGTTAATTATTCAGCGTTTGAATATCAAAAAGTTTCTTGTTCAACTTTGACTGTGGAATGTCAAACGAAGAACTACATGTAACTTTACATCAGTAAAAATGACAACCATTCTATGGCAACTGAGAATATTGGGCCAAATATTTGATTTCTTGGTTGTTATAATACTAACTTACCAAAACAGGGTAATGAAAATGAAGGTTAAGTTTACTGCAAAAAAATGGGGGGGGGGGCCGAGAGAAAATCGGGTGCATCAGAAATTGGCATTGTGTGAAAGAAGAAACAAGAAGGCCCCTTTGTAAAGATTGTGCATTTTTATAAGATGGCGGATGAACATTCATGACTCTGTCATCTCAAGAAAAAGTATAAAAGAATGTTGCCTCCTGCCTCCTTTGTTTTTTCCATCATGTTACAACTCAGTGGTAATTCATGGAGGAAATGCTGATAAGACATGAATCTGGGACTGAGACAACTTTCCAATTTTGTTAGGAAATTATGCTTAGAAAATTTAGTTGACTTCTCATACTAGACTTGGTACACAACTGCTTCAGTGGAGTCATAAAAATTCTTTCCAAAAGATGGCCCTATTGAAGGGTTTGAACATGCTTACACATCTGTATATTTAATTAGAAACAAACTGTCAAAATATGTTGCAAATTAAAGCTGCATTTTTAATTGGTTATGTGAGGGAAATGGAATAATGGATTTATAAGGTCCAGAAGCAAAATCTTATTCTTTGACTGCTATATCTTGTTAGTGCGGTGATGTATCAGTGGGGAAAAAAGGGTAATTCTGAAGTGCATATTTCTCATTTCTTGATGGAAACACAGGTTGATCATGTCATCAGTAAAGATCTGGGACTCAGATCACGAAGCAAGATAAAAGAGAAGAAATTACACGCCCCCAAAAGAGGTATGGTGTACCCTCATCAGCTAGGTACATGTACTCTGTGTGGCAGGCAGGTTTGGGTGCAGCTCCTGGATGAGGTGTTATGGCAAACACTGTACTTACATGTACCTTGTCTTACTACTGACCATTGCAATGTTTAGATTAAGTCCATCTCATTCAAGCCATTTTATTTGAATGAAATCTGGTACATTGAGTTGTCTAATTGCACATTAACATGATTTGAATTCCCCAGACTGAAGACACTGTTGCTATACCTTATGATTTGTGGCAAACTTTTACAGAGCGCCTGGTATTTGTGGAATGGACTGGTTCCTTTGCACCCTTCATATCCATTGAAAACAGTATATTGGTCCAAGGCCTTTCTTATGTAACTAAGCAAAAAGCTTGCCTCAAATCATGAGGTATAGCAACAGCATCTTTAGTTAGGGAGAAGTCAAACTGTTATGTTCATGTGAATTTGAAGAGTGCGACAGATTTTATTCAAATTTAACTTGCAAAAGACTTATCCCCAAGTTGAGGTATTAACTGTGACGAAGACATTCCTGTGGCATTCTTCCCAGATTGCTTGTGAATGAACTTAACTACTAGAGAAAAATATCACAGTGTTGGAGAACACTGTGATATTCTTTCTCTAGAGGATTTTCTTGCTGAAATATTTTTGAAAGATGATATAAGGTCTTAGTTACTCTGTCGTCTGATTCCAAATGATAACTAAGACCAAGCTTGGTGACAGAAATGCAGTGATGCTGCATAAACTCGTGATAATGCTGATTTTGAGGGCTTTTCACAGTATTTTTGTCTATTAGCCCTGACATGAACACAAATGATGAACACACATGACACAGGTCTACCTTGAACGGACCTTGGCTGACAAGGCCGATATACCTAGATGATTTTCTAGTTTCTGCATCAGTAGACTCAAACCTTGGTGAATGGCAGATTGATCTGGGTGACACTGTGCATTCTGGACACTGAAAGGGGTAAAGTCATTAAAATCTCAGGACAACCCAGTTCAGTGCAGGAATTCTGAAAAATTAACCGTGATGGGGTCCCTTGCTTGAGACAATTAGGCTCAAGTTGTCATTGTTTTTGGTTCATTATTATCGGTTAGATGTTGCCGGTGATCATTTTATTAAAAACAAATCATTACCCCCCTTCCCCTACACACACAACCACACCCTCCATCTTCACTACCTGCATTGTGAGGACAACATTTATTCTCATATCCACACAAGAAATAGCAAGCTTGTACACAAGTTGTTGACGGCCTCGAGCACTATATTTTTCTTATGGCTTTAAGTCCTTTTTGTAATTTCGTGGCACATACATGTAGTGGACAAGACGTTGTACATCAGAGACAGAGAGAAGAGGGATGCTAGCAATAGCAATGAAGACGATGATGGGGAAAGACTGTCTGGTGTAGAAGGCTACTTACAGCAGTATGGGAAACCAAGAGTGCCAAACACCAATAAAAACACAGGAGGTAATGGAGAAACAAGTGAGCCCTCTTTGATTAGCGGTGATGGTTTTCCACACACATTTACCCATTCCCTTTTTCAGGGTCAGTTCAAGGCAATATGTTTGCATTCATGAAGCAAGAATTGTTTCTGATGTCATAATCACAAATTGAATCAATGCTTGTGTAAACAGTGAAGGTGCACCAAAACACTTGACCAGGGATTACCGACTGAAACAGTTTCAACTGGCAGAAAGAACACACTCCCATTTAGAAACAGTTTTTTTCTAACTCTAACAAGATGTGGATTTTTGCACAAAAGAAAGGGTTTATAGTGGAAAAAAAGGGAGGAACAAGTCCCCTTGGGACTGACACGATCATCTAAAAGTGCACAAGCGTATGGGATGTAACTTCAGATGGGCATTTGGTGTTCAGCTTTTCTTTTTTGTCTCTAGGTAGTGGGTTTGTATGTGGCACAAACACAGTAAAGGGAGCTTGTACATTACTGGTACCATGCATCATGCTAACAGTGGTAACCTGATAATTTAAATGTTTTTGCCAAGTCTCAACCACTCTTCAACTAGGTTCTTCATGTGTACCGGCATGGAAAAAACCTACCGCCTTTTGGACCCTTTTAGTGAAAAGAAACACTTATATCTTGTTTTTATTGTTGAAACACATAGTAATGCGCATGAAGACAAGTTGAGCTGAATGTCCACTGCATATTTCCGTTAAAGTTGAGGCACACGCACATTTTTCGCAAGTCACAAGTTCTGTTTATTGAAGCATGTGACAGATACAACCCCTGGCCACAAATATGATGTCACTGTTGTAATGGCTTCTAATTTCTCATCACCAAATTAGTGTATGAATAAATTCAATGAAGAAACAAGGAATTAGTTGAAAGGACGAGTGAAACAGACAGTGAAAAGAAGTGGTATGGAAGTAGTATACAAATATTGACTGCTTTGAGTGGTATAGTAAAGCCAGCCTACCGAGGTGATCCATCATTCCATGGAATATTCTATTTTCCCGAGGAGAAGTGGAGGGGAAATAGAATGCTTCATGGAACACCAAGGATTAAAGCAAGCAATATTTGTTTTATAACATCTCATCCACAGATTCTGCACATTTTAAGATAAAAAACAATAATAAAACACCAAAGAGCATTTCGTTTGTGTTCCATTTAACAAATTGTGTGTTAGAGTGGGTGTGCTGACAACATAAACTACATGACATACCAGTCCTGACTATTTGCATCTTCATCCTTATAATCTATCCAATTTGTAGCTAGTACTTACGGTAGCCTGGCTCAACGGGTTTGAGTGTGACAGATAAACAGGATAAAGGTTTATGCTTTGAGCTGAAATACAGGCCTGGGTACTATTCATGGTTTCGTTGCTATGGATATAGTTCTTTGGTTGCCATGGGTATAGTTCTTTTTCAGAGCAAGGCTGCATGTGTATAGTCTTTTTTGGAGTAGTGATACAAAAAAATTGAAGTAGCAAGTGCCACATGACGCACTTTTAGCCAATCAAGATACAGAATCTGTGGGTGAGGTGTTCTTAAAGGAAATACAAGTGAGTAACATAGATTGTATGAGAGTGCTAGTTATAAATCATGATTTGTTGAAACTTTTTTCTTCTTTCTTTTTTTCATTTGGTTGACATCAGGGTCACCAGCAGTGGAAACAGAATACAGCATCAGGTTAATAAGTATATTGCATTGTTGTCTTTGCTAACATAAATGTACATGTAGTTGTGAACTAGAACGCGATTTTCAAGTACAAAATACTGGCATTTCTCACCTTTACTAACTCTGATCCTTCCAAATTCCCTTGGTGCAATAACCTGTGGCATACAGTTTGGTACTGAAGAACAGAACAGCATGCCTTATGTGAAAAGCTGGGTTCAACAGTTCTGAATCCAGCAACTTAAATGAAGCCAGGTTTCAGACAGAAACTTCTGGGTCAAATGATGTGAGAAACTCAAGTCAGTGCACACTTGTACTTGAAGTTTGTTTAAAATATTGGATAACTGAACAAAAAGGGTTTTATTGCAAATCTTACACTTCTTTACCATTCATTTAACATATGTACACCCGGCTTCTGGGAGAAGACATGGAAGAAATATTCAGTTTTTGAGATGAGAGAAAAACTCCAGTTAGCATATAGGGACTGAAAATTCAATTTGCATTTTGACCAAGGTGGAATTCAAATCTGGGTCACACTCCCAAAGTCAAATAATTGAAGTTATTATTTGTATTCAGAGCAGTCAAAGGTTTCCACAGTGGGAGATTTCCTTTCTCCGCATCTCAACACTCCAGAGTTTCTGTTCCTTTTCCAGACTTGTCGATGGTGGGACCGAATATGAAGGAAGAGTTGAGGTCAAAAGAGATGCCAACAGCAGATGGGGGCTTGTGTGTGATGATTACTGGGGGATGGAAGATGCAAGAGTTGTTTGTAGACAACTTGGCTATGGGTAAGGCCTATGTGTTGCTTACTGAGCCTATGTTAGGGACTCAAAGATATATTACGTGGCCAATTCAGATGCCCAATTCGGTTCTTAAAGGTAGTATACACCATTCTCATTTGCTGTAATTTTCAGAATTTGCCATTTTGTGGCTTTGTTATTATCTTTGGGTATCATTCCATTCATTTCAATTGGTGCGTTCACTGCTTTAAGAAATATCAAGGACAATTGCAGATGTAACACCAAAAGCAAAGCTCATGTAATTTGCCTTGCAAAAAGTCCATTTGTTCCTGAGTACCTACATAATGTACAGGCTAGGTGTATATGCAGATCAAAGCTCATAGATGGCCCCCCTCCCAAAATAGCATTTTTTTTATGGCTTGGAGTAAAGGTCGACAAATTTACTTTCAAGTTTATGTCTCTTCCTTCAACAATGATACACTTTTATTATTAAACTTTACAGTAAAATATCATTATTTAAAGGCAATTTAGCAGTCCTTTTTTTCAAGATTGGCATATACTACTTTTAAAAGTTTTACAATCAGAAACCTTGCAAATCCTGACATAGGGAAACATGGTCTCAACTGAATAATCTCTGATAAAAATTACAAAAGCTGCTTTCTTTGGACAATATCTTTCCATCAAATTATGGTTGATAGTATTTTTCATAACCATGTAGTCTAAAGAAGTTTCAGTAAAAAGCACAATAAAACCCTTACTTTTGGTTTTAAGATTTTGGAGGAAATTATGTTTCCATGGTTGATGTGTATATGCAAAACTTACATAAAAAGTTCCCCCAGTGTTAATGGCAGTATTGAAGTCACATCACAAGACCAGTCACAAGTGTTATGGTTACTAGTGGCAAAGAAATGATTTGTTGCAATTAATTTGCAACAAACATTTTCCATTTCTCAGAGATGGCGCAGAGATGGGGGGTCCCTGTGACAACCTGTCTCCTCTTAACGTACATTATTGTAACATTTTTCAGGGAACCTGTTGAAGCTGTGTCCAATGCTTTCAGTCGTTTTGGGGGTAACCCCGGCAAGAAACAGTTCCTGATGGATGACATCCAATGCCAAGGATCAGAGGATGCCCTGCAGCTGTGTCAGTTTGATGGCTGGGGGATCTCCAACTGTATTGTTGAGAGGGAGGCTGCTGGTATCGTCTGCAGCCCACCAAGTATGGACCCAGACTCTAATCCAGGTAATAGCCTCAATATTCAAACGTTTGTTAAAAGCTCCAGTGGTGCTGTGTAGGGGTGTGTGTGTGTGTGGCTTTACTTTTGAATTGAATTGCAAAGTTATAGCAATGACATCAGGCAGTAGTCAATGGCTCATGTTAGTTACTGGATGAGACTTTTGTTGCCCAATTCACATGCCAATCACTGTTGCCTTAATGTAGGGTGTATGCACTTTGCCAAGTATCCCAAAAGTCCTATTTTATATTTTGCTCTTTTAAAGGTCTGTCTTTAGAGAGTGACAAAATTGCAACTGATGTCTCTTGTGGCATTTAAATTTCAAGCTGAAAATTGTGTTTTGCACTTAACTTTTTTTCAAATCTCAGTAGGGCTGTGCCAAATATTTGAATACTCGATCGATTGTAGAATATTCTGAATTTGAATATTCAAATGCAAAATTCATGAAAAGGAAGGGAGAATTTTCTTTTGTTTTAAATGAGAAAGATTGCACCATGGAGGCTTGTTTCATGCAGATTCTAATAAAAAGCAACAGAAATCTTACGACGACTCAAAAAGTAAATTATTCATTAGCCCTAACTGTCCCAAATCCTCTCATTTCAGTATTATTTTACATACACCTTGGGGGATTAATGCTAAAAATTTAAAAGGAATAGAAATTTTCAACAGAGCAAGAAGCATTGTTCATCTCTTAAATCTTCCTAAATTGTGGCTGGAGATACTCCTAGACATGAGAGGCAATTATAGTGATTATAAAGTACAATTGTGTGCATTATTGCAACTGATTTTGTATATAGTTTAATCATGAACAATCTGCCGGTTGGTAAGACTGAATATTCGGATATTTGATCGAACTGAAGGTCAAATCTTCCAATAGTGAATTGTTGGAATTGACCCAGCCCTAAATCTTAGCCTTGTTTCTAACACCAGCTCGGGTGTCAGATTTTAATGTGGACCCAGTCTTCAGTTTGAGACCCTTCATGCTGTAAGCACTATACGCTACTGTACAAGTATCCATTTGGCTAATACGAGGGGAAGGTTTGGTTCCCACAGACAGTAAATTGTTGAAACTGGTCCTGTTGCTTAAGATGAAGCCATAGAGACTGAGCCAAGATGTGGGACAAAAAGCGATAGTTTGAATAGCCAGTGTTTGTTGTTAAATATGTAATATATTTGGATACTCCGCTTGCTGTGCCAGAAACAGAATTATTGTTGGCCTACTTGGGAAGTGCTGGTCACCTCATCAATATGTGGCATGCAAGTAATGCTGCATCAAATACATGTATGAAGCCATTTAAAGTGTCATTGGGATTTGACTCATGGGAAGACCAAAGTTTCAATTTGGAACTGCCTGATGTTTAATATCACTACGTACATCTAACAAAAGAAGTACAGTGCAGTAACAATGGACGGTCATTGTTAGTGCACTGAGGTTCTTTTGTTAGATGTTTGTAGTGTATATGAGCCCCCACAGCCTCCTCCCCAGTCTGTTGTGTATGCTAGCCCATTGATCCATTCCAGTAGGCAAAGTTGCTGAATCAGTACAGGGAAAGAGGTTGGCGTCTCAGACATATCAGACTGGCTTCAGCCCATTGTACGATCCATGAGTCCGCAAGGTAATTGTAATATCATCTGTTTGGTTCCAAGAAATATTTTGCTTAGGTTGTGCTCATCTGCATGGCTTGACTCTTCTTAAGCCGTACTCTGAGAGCTTGAAATGAAGCTTTGCCCTGTCTCCTGGGTTTTGAGCAACAACTGGGTCATAGTCGGCATGGGAGGGAATCTGACTTGAATCAAACAAAAGAAATTGCACTGAAATTTTTTTAAGTTTAAATGTGCTCAACTTTTACAAGTACGGTGTATGTGTAGCAAAACCTCGCCATGATATCATTTATTTGCAGTTCCATGAGCCTTTTTTTAGCCATAAACTCACACCAAAGATGCTTCTCTGTCTTGTTTTTACCAATGAATATAGTACAAACAGAATGTGTTGGTAACTTCAAGCCTAAAGGCATTTTCACTTGGCTCCATAAATCCTCAAAAATCTAACATGCAGGAACCTCATGCTTCATTCTCCACACTGTCTTTCAGGCAGCCTTAACTTCTGTATAAATTAATGAAGACTGAACTCTGCCTCTGTGCATCCAAAAAACTTCCTAAAACTCCTAGTGGATTTCAAAGGAGCAAGGAGTGTTGTGGTTTGGAAATTGGAGTTTTACTTTACATTGTCAGTGTCACTTTTTCCAAAGAATAAGAGCTTACATGTATTACAAAAATGAACCCAAACATATCAACAAATTCAGTTATTCATTGTTTTTTGGGTGATGTTCTACCCAAACTTACTACTGATTTTACAAATACATGTGTGATTGTTGGGAGTAAATTAGGGGCCTTTTTGGTTGATCTAAATTATGTGAAATGGGTTTGTATACTGATTTTTTTTGAGAGAGAGAGACTATGATGCAAAAGGTTTAATTGTCCCCAAGAAATTTGAAAATTTGCTTGGCAGGGAGATCAAACAATTTGATTCCTTTTTTCTTGGTCAGATTATATGTGAATAATGCAAGTACATGTACATATACCAGTAGTTCAAGAATGTCTCTGAGATTTTTTTTTTAATTTGTATGACACGTTAACGAAATGGTTGACATCCCCATAGCAATTGAAGATTTTTTGCTGAAGGATATGTTTGTGGAATTTTTAGTGCGCACAGTTAAAGTTGAAATTTTGAAAAAAGATTTAGGGGTGTACTGCCGGGTACTTATGAGGCATCCAAGTACATTTCTGCTTGTGTGTTCTGCACATAAGCATCACATGTAAATGCTGAATTGCAGGATGTTACATACAAGATGTTGACCATGATGAAGTGCCTCTGTGTATCTTTCTTGACCTAAGCATGATTTGGGAATATTCTGCATTGAAAAATTTTGCTTTGGTCTGGAGGTAGCCTACCTCTGTCCTTAATAGTTTCTTTTATTCTGCAAATGTTTCGCCATTCTGCTACTGACTTCACTTGCAAGTTTTTCATTTGAGAATTCTTCTTTAATACAAAGATTTGAGCCGTAAGTTGAATTTATAAAAGAAATCCCCCCCCCCGAAAAAATTGTACTGTTCCTTTAATGTTTTGTTTTGTCAAGCCAAAGCTTTGCTAGTTGCTTCACTTAACAATGAAAGCACCTTCGTTCAATTTTCATTTCTTTATCCTAACATGTAATCTCAATTTGAAGTTTAATTTTTCAAAGTCTCATCATATTCCAAGTGATTGTTTTATGTATTGCCTAAATGTGGGTTTTTATTTACTATAAATGCAGTAGTGTAACGAATGATAAATAGAATATCTACCAGAGCCTATCCCTTTTACCCTCAGAACTTAAATGAGAAAAGAGAGTTCTGTATTTGCAATGCAGTTCTCTATTTGCATTTTAACAAATGCATTTAGTAACCTTCCAGAAAATGATTGCCCACCCCTTCGAATCACTCCTTAGAAACACTTATGCTTTGATGTCGAAGGATTTAGAGCTTTTTTTCCTCTTTGGGTTGGGCATCTTAGCACGGGAATGCTACAATCTCCCTGAAGGCCAGGACTATCGAGGAAGGGTCTCCCAGACGAGGGGAGGCATCCAGTGCCAGTCCTGGGGGGTCCAATACCCCCATGAGCACACGGTCACCCCTCAGGCCAATGCCCACCGGGGCATTGGCATGCACAACTACTGCCGAAACCCAGACGATGACTCTCATCCCTGGTGCTACACCACCAGCAGCCAGAAGCGATGGGACTACTGCGATGTAGGAAGACCAGCAGAGCAGAAATGCAGAAATCCCGGTAGAACAAAATAATAGTGGCAGGAAAAAACTTGACCTGTACAAGCATGACAATTCATTGGAGCACAAAGAGAAATGTGAATATGTAGCAATAGTTAGCATTATTAACTTACAGTTTACATCCGTATTACCACACCTCATACATATTCATAATTAAGAGACAAATTCTGATTGGCCCATTTGTGATCATGTGTCAGTCACTAATTTGCTGTTACTGGGCACACACACAAAGAACCGTGCATCAATCAAATATGCTAGTAAGTATCCTCAGGAACAGTTCAGTGGAATTGCCGTTCAGATAAAGTATGCACACGCAAGCATTGCGCACATATTATCCTTAATGCATGTTATTTCATTGTGGTTACGCTGCCTTTCCCTTGTAATTGTAACTGAATATGCATGAGGTGTGGTAAAGTAAATGTAACATGCCTTGTTTGAGTTGTATTGTTGATATTAGCTCCCCTCAGTGTTGGAAGTTGACAAAGTAAGTTTCTCAACTTCCAATACCTTGGGGACAGTGGTGTATCCAGGCCTTGGGTCCAGGGGGACAAAATGCAATTTTTTCCTCAAATGACTGTCCATTGTTGTTGTCAAGGAAAAAATCTTCAACCCCCCCCCAAAAGTGGGTATACCTTACCATTTTTAAAATAATGGCACTTCCAATCCCCATAAAATGGCAACCCATTCTCACCCACCCGTTCCCCCACCTTACGCTGGATACACCATTGCTTGGGGACTTAAAATTTGTTAACCATTAATTAGACAATTAGTAACAACAGCACTGTCATGCTTGCATTCATGTAATGTTATGCATAATTTGTAACCTTTAGTCTTTTTTATTTTTGTCATGACTTAAAATTTTGTCCTGCATGCATTTATTTTTAGTAGTGATTAGTTTTTGAAGGTTTTGTGCAATGTAGTTTTTGTACCACCACCCTTAAAATGCACCTCTGTGTTTCAGTGAACCTAATCATCAGGAGTTTCTTTCAGCTATTTGTAATACAGTGTGCAAAAATGAAAAGACACATGCTAGGAGGATAAATGTGCAAAATGTCTATGTACTGTGTCTGGTATCATGTCATCTTGTTTGTCTGATTTTTAACCACATTCTTTTTGTTTTGGAATAAAGATTTCCCTTGTGTTGGCTGCTTCTTTGTTTATTTACATTTTTAATTGGCATGAAAGGTCTTTTTGTTCCATGTATTAATTGCATTCATTTTGTTTCTTATTGTGTTTTTCCAAACTTGCCTGTATGAGTGACCCAGGGAATGAAAAGTTTGAAAAGAGTGTGTGAGGATGTTCTTATTGTTCTCAGGAGTTCTGAAAAAAGAATAGAAGCACAGAAGGGCAAGAACCAATAATGACTGTTCATTGCTGTATTAAGTTAGTACCTAATTGCACCTAGTATCAGTGAGTAAATCATTTGCTAAAGATTCTGAATCGAAGCCTATCTTGCGGCAGTGAGATAGTCATTGCTTTTTACTTATTTAGTTTCACTTATTCTCTCCACAGCAAGAAACTAATAAGAAAAAGTTTTTGTTGGTTGTGATTTCTATTTGCTTCCTAAAATAAAGAGCGTGCTGCATTGTAGTTTGAAGGGCGGAATGACATTGTGAAGGGATATATACTGAAGACATATTCAGTGCTACAGTTCATTGAAAGCACCTCATAAATGAGAGCAAAACCTTTCAGAATTGACAGAAATTGAAAACTAAGTTGACTTGTCGGCCTTGATGGTAATCAAACATTACTTCTGTCCTGGGGGAAGAAGTTGAGGAAACTCCTACACCATCCCACACCCACCTTCCAGCCAGTTTTACTTCACAAAATGAAGTAAAATGTTTGTTGGGGATATTTTTGTGGAAGTACCAGTCATCAGAACCCAAAACATGCGGTGCATTTTGCTGTGCGTGGAATTGGTAGTGAAAAAATCAGTTGGAAGTTTTTTAAGGGAATGATGTAAAAATTTTTCTGCTGTGTGATTTTTTGTCTTCAGATTCCCCGGAATGTTACACTGACCAACAGGGTTCTGACTACCGTGGATTTGTGTCAACGACTGCCTCTGGCAAGACCTGCCAGAAGTGGACCGTCCAGGAGCCCCACGTACACCACCACACCCCCGACCGCTTCCCTGATGATGGGCTAGGGGACCACAACTACTGCCGTACTGTGTCAGAGGTCAATGCAGAGAGACCTTGGTGCTACACCACATCTTCCGCAACACGGAGGGAATATTGTGATGTGGGGCTCCCTCAGGTCAGCTGTAACAGGAATCGTAAGTGATTATTTGTAAAAGAAAAAAGTGGCTTGCTTTTTGATCTTCAGAGCTGTCAGCTTCAGGATCTACATGTTTGATCAGACAAGATCAGATCAGATGCAGATCTTTCTGGATACATGTGTTTATCCTGTTTCAGTAATAACAGATATACTGAATCTTGGCTGCTGACATAAGATTAAATTCTTCAGTTTTCTCTGCTTGGTATAGCAACAGGGATTTTTTTTTTAGATTTAAACCGGCCTCCATTATTGCAAAAATGTTTCATGACAGTCCATGAGACAAAGCTGTACTTACATGTAGTTTATAGTTTGACATTTTGTCGGATATGAATGTGTATGAGTTGAAATGACTCGCTATCACCTGTTTCCTGTTATTTTCTGCATGATCCCCTAAGCAATAGTCTCATGTAATAGACCAATCCATTGTACCCTGTCCAGTGGTATGCTGACCATGGTCCAACAAGTGCATGATGCATATGGTAGGGTTGTGGAATGTGGTATTTAATACGGAGGAACTCATGTTCATTGCTGATCTTGTAAGCAGGCCTCACCTCTGAGTTCGAATGCCACTTAGGCCAATGTGTGGATTGGATTTCCATGCTGTCATGATTGATTCTAGTGGGTCCCCCCCCATAAATATTTTTCAGGAGTTATCCTCCCATCTCTGAAACTGAACATTTCCCTGTTTTCTCTCTCTAAGGAGCCCCTAGGGAGAACAATTCTTTGGTAACAGAGGGCTGAAATGAAACTACTGAATCAATATTGAAACATCTAATTTCTGACTTTCTCCTTGCAGCTGCTGCTGTGGAACAGGCGGCCAATCCTTTGGAACGCTTTGCCCTCTTCCAGAATGCTGCCATCCCTGGGGCCAACCAAGCTGAGCACCATGGTGTGACAGCTGTACAGTGTGCCCAGCTCTGCCTGCTAGAGAATGCCTTCACCTGCCGGTCCTTTGACTACTTCCGAGATGATAATCGGTGCTGGCTGTCAGACAAGTCTTCCTACACAGACCGGCTCAAGTTTGACTTCAACAATCATCCCTTTGATTACTATGAGAGGATTGATATTGGTATGAAAACTATTGCAGTTTGTATACATTACAGTTATCTATTAAAAACTTTTATGTGAAAAGTACATGTACAGATTTCTTTTTTCCTGTTTTCTCCCCAACTGGTTTAGTTACTAGACTGATCAAATGACAAGGATCTGTTTGTAAATTATATAATAAAACATATTCTGCACAGTGCCTACCTTTGTTTGATTTTAGTTTTGTTCGGTGAAAGTTTTAAAGTTTTGAAGAGTTGCATAACATGATAGTGATGGCATACTTGGGTGTATTCCACTGTTTTGTGCTGTAGTAATAGTAGCCAGTGTTTGCAAAGGAACTTCCAATTCATAATGAAAAAGAGATTTGCAGTTGCGAATTCTACAAAATCACCCTAATATAGTCATGTTGCAAATATTTATGTAATTTCTTTTAATTTTAATATTTCATTGGAAGACTGTTCGTAGAATATTAGTGGATGAAATGGTTGCAAGTTTCTGTCCGAGTTATCCTTTATGGAGCTACTACAGTACTCAGACTTCGCTCCTTCAACCATCCTCAAATTATTAATCTTCAGTGTGAATTGTCTCAAACATGGTGTCCTAGGTCCAAATGTCACTTTTGATGTTTGATAACTCTCCTCTGCCCCTCCCCCTTTTTCCCATCAGGCACACTGGCTGAATTCCAGATCACCCCTGATGCTGCTATCGCTGGTCACAATGTTATAGAGCACCAGGATGTTTCTGTGGAGCGCTGTGCTGAACTCTGCCTGCTTGCGTCCTTTGGCTGTGCGTCCTTTGACTATGCACGCCGTTCATCTCAGTGCTGGCTGAGTCAGGCCACCATGGAGACAGCTCAACTTAGGACCGACATCCAGGCTCAGCCATTTGACTACTTCCAGCGAAAAGGACCAGGTATGCTTCTAATTTGACATTTTTGAAATGGTTTGGGTGGTAAGAACAATGCTTAATCAAAAGGCATCCTTCATAATCCATTTATGAATATCAGATTGTTGGGAGGTACTGCCAACAGAAGATCAGAGAGATAACTTAAGATCTAGATTTAAATCTAGATTTAGATCCGGTGGGTGCGATAAAGCTTGGCCCATGGTAGCCATGGTGGTTCAAATGTTGGCCAAAACTCTCTTATCAGTGAGGTTTTACTGACGCACAAAGTAGGTACTCCCACTGACTCAACTTCAGCTTGATTCCCATCTGTCTTTACCAATAGATTGACCCCCCCATGTATTTTAGTTTTTCTTGAGCAAAAAAAAAGCCGAACCCATCCGTAGATTTAAAAAAGTTCAAAAGTGCACACATATTATTTGTCTCTTTTCTCTCCCTTACCAGCTGTGCCAGAATGTTACCATGGCAATGGCCACAGTTACCGAGGAACGTTCAGTACGACCCATGATGGTAAACGTTGCGTGTCATGGGCGTTTGCAGCATCAAGGGGGGCAGGTGTGAGTGCTTCCACATATCCTAATACAGGTAGGACTGTGTACATCCATATACCGTATAGTTTTGCTGAATATTTATTTCTGTTCACCCGCATAGCACATTATGCACCAATTACAGAATCATTTTGAGTGGCAGTGAAGAAAATAATATTTGTTCTGTTTTTGGAGTGGTAGGAAAACCTAAAACAAGTATACCAGGGAAAACCCATAGATTCTGATAGGGACGGAAAAACCCTATCCCCATGCCGATCTAGGTGGGATTCGAACCTTGGATTGTAGAAGTGGAAGTACCACTGTACCATGGTGACTCCCAAGTCAAGTTACTACATCGATTTAATTTTGTGGATACAAAAAAGTTACATCAAGATTATTGATGTAGCTGTATTCAAGATTGCCCCCAAAATGGTTTTTTGAGCTTTAGTTTATTTTAAGATTGAAGCGAAGGCACACAATCGGACAAATTGATTGAATAGATGTAAAAAGTCTTTTGTTGTGTAACCAGTGGTTCACATTTCAAAATAGCAGGAACCAAATTTCGTATTATTTGAATTCCCTTTTGAAAAAAACTCTTGACCTCACACAATTCAGAATGTATGTACTAAAGGGGAGGGAATTACTGGAGGGAATAAACAAGCCAATCAGTATGAGAAATATGAAGTGACTCCAGAGAACACCAATTCAGATGGCCATAATTAAAATAGGAGATGTACAGAAAATGCAGGATCCTGTTAAGTTATGTAGAATACACTTTGAGCTCAAGGGAAAAAGTGGCGCCAAAGTACTAGATGTAGAGGTGAGTTGCGACGAGACATTCAAAGGTGGGAAAACAGGAGTCTGTCATGTTGTGTAGCCAGTTGACAAAAGTAAAGAGCAAAAGTTCAGCAGAAGAAATGTAACACAAAGGAAT